GGTTTGGTTGGTAAAACTGAATGGGATGCTTTGGAAGCCGATGTTGTCGTGGATACATTCACCGATTTCAGACTAAGTAAAAAAAAAAAGAGAAAAATTTTAATGAAGATGAATGAAGATGTGTTATGATTATAATTAATAATAATAATAATAATAATTTTATTATAGACTATTCGGCCTACTTCAGAGAACCAACCGAAGAGGGTAAAGCTAAAAAATTAGAAGACGTAAGAAACGTTCACAATCCAAATTTTCTTTCGAAATTCGAAGAAAGAGTCAAAAATAACGGCGGTCATTTCGTTAACGGCCAAGTAATTATATATTATTATTATTATTATTATTTTATAAATGGATTCGCGTTATTTTTTATTAATTATATTAATTATATAAAATGATTTACCTTACAGCTTACTTGGGCAGATCTTTATTTCTCGGCTGTCGTTGACCTCATGGTAAACGTATTGAAAGAACCAATTTTGGACAAATATCCAAACTTGAAAGCTCTCAAAGAGAAAGTTGATTCTCTTCCCAGCATCAAAGCTTATCGTGAAAAGAGACCAAAAACACTTTTTTAATCAAAAAAAAAAAAAGTACTTTTATACAACTCTCAATGAAATTTTTAATACATTTATAATGTAATGATTAATTGCCTTATTATTTTTCACAAATAAAATGTGGACTTAATTTTTTTTTTTTTTTAAATACAATAAATGTTTTGATATTGATTCATCACACTATCAATTTTCATTTTTATTTATTCCCGATCCCTAAAACAAAAAAAAAAAAAAAATAATATTAATAATAAAAGAATGAGTTGGTTTCGTTTAATGTTTAAATACTATTTTCTCACCCTGATAACAAAAAAAAAATTATGTACAAGAGGTTTATATCGAACCAAATGGTAATTTTTAAATTCGTGAAAGGTCAAAGGTTTCTTCCTATTCTTAAGTGCTAATCAATTTCAACCTCCTGAAACACATATAAAAATAAAATCAAATAAAAAAAAGGAACGCAAAGAAATAAAATAACTTGTACAATTCTTTCTATAACATGGAAAAAAAAATTTTTTTTTTTCAAATTTAATCATACTAACGGTTTTACATAATATTTACTATAATACAAATTTTTTTCAAGTCCAAAAAAAAAAAAAGAAGTTTTTCACCAAAAAAAAAAATGAAAATTTTGACGTGGGGGGCCAGACGTATTTACATCATGAATCCTAATTTAGAATCCTCATACGTAAACAAATAAATTAAAGATTTTAAATTTTGCACGGGAAAAGAAATAAAAAAAAATTTTTATTTTTTTTGTTTAATTATCCTCACATGAATATCGTGTTGGGAGAAAAAAAACTATAATTAAAAACGTGTTCTACTGTAAAATTTTTTACCTGTTTTATATGGGAAAAAAAATTTTTTCTTTTTTCTCTCTTTTGAAAAAATAATAAAATTATTATTATTAAATGTTTAATTATGTTAAACTCTTTTGAATGTTTATTTAAACACGTTTTGAAAATTATTTAATGTTATCATTCATAATAAAATATCCAAATTAAATTTGTGAGAATAACATCCAAAAGTTCTCCACATTTATAATTGCAAAAAAAAAATTTTCCATTCCAATTTCTAGAAAAAAAAAAAAAAAAAAATTTTTATATGAGTTATATAGATTATTAATAAAATAAAATTTATATGTATTAAATTAACAAGAATTAAAAATTATTAAGTTAATATAAATAATAATACTACTTCAATTATGTATAATTAATAACTTAATTATGTATAATGATAATTTTTAATTCTTATTAAAAAAAAAAAAAAAAAAACTTTAAACTTCTTTCCTTTTTAAGGATAAAATTTTTTACATAAAATTTACTCGTTTTTTTGCTTTCTTTCCAAGATATTCTTTGAAAAATTTCTTACTTTTAAAACCGATGATGATATTATTTAAGTGTAAAAATCCTGTATAAAATTAAAATGTCCCTAATGTAAAATAAAACGATGATAAATTTTTTTTAAAAAAAAAAAAACTGTAAAAAAAAATAAAAAATTACAGTAAGCAATATCAAAGGAAAAAAAATAATGAGAAAATAGAGGTAGAGTGGAAAAAAAAGAGAAAAAAAAAAAAATTTTCCTCTTTTTTTTTTTTTTTTTCATTTTCAAAAAAAAACCTTACGTCATAACCGTGGAAATTTTTATAAGACGACGAAAACCTTTTTGAAAACGACCACACATATAATATCTATTAAGGATAAAGAAAAAGAGCGCATGAGCTTTTACACAAACAAGAAAAAATTAGCAATCCGGCAGTTGAAAACGAAATTTTATCCAATATCAATCTAATATTATAAAAAAATTTTTTATATAAAATAAATAAATAAATAAAATAGAAAAAGGTTCGGTAAAAACGTTACGAAAAATTTTAAAAAAATTAAAGTGGAAAAATTTTCAATATCATAAGGTGAGATAATTAATATCATTTTAAATAATTGATAATATTATTTGCATTATGTAATTACCTTTTTTTTTTTTTTTCTATTTATTTTCTTTTTCCCTGTGATAAATTTTGAATGTTTTCATTTGAAAATAAAATAGATAACAAATTTAAATTATGCATCAAATAATAATACTACACATTCTTTTAAAATTTTTTTTTTCTCTTCAAAATAATTTTCAACATCATATCAATATGAATGGATGACATTCAAAAACCTTTTTCTTCCTAGAAAGAAAAAACAAAAATTAAAATGTTAATCCCTTTATTTAATAATATTAATTTCACACAAAGAAGAAAATCTATCAAATTTTAAAATTAATAATGTTTTTTTTTTATATTTACATAAAATGAAAGGTGTTATAATCATCATTATTATATGATGGTGATAAATCATTTGATGTATTTCAAATATTTTTGATCACACAGGAAATTTAAATCAAGACATGATATATATTTAGGTGATAAAAGTTTTTTCCTTGGTAATGAAACACACACATTTAATTTAAACCTGTTTTAAAATTATTATTATTATTATTTCCTTGAGCAATAAAAAGAAATTACACCACAGAGCTTTTAATGTGACAAAATAAAAATTTTAATAAAAACTTCTTTTTTCTCTCTCTCTCTCTCTCTTTTGCATTTGTCTATATAGAAATCTTCTTTTGGTTTTCTCTCTAAAAAAAAATATATATATATACGTATTAATAATTGAGAATTATAAAAAACTTGCATGTGTATAAAAATAAATAAATAAAGGTATATCATTTGTACATAGACTTTGGATTTACGATTACATAATAAAAATTACGTAATCATAAATATATGATGATATAATTTTTCAATTAAGAATCCATGTAAATCCATATAAAATTACATTTAACCGTGGAAATAATAATAATAATAATGATACTTACGTCAAATTAATGCATAAAATCAAAAGCGTTTTAAAAATATATATCATCAACGATCATTCCATCAATCACTGACTGTTTTCATTCGTTCGGTCACTTCTTTTTATAATTTCTATTTAAAAAAAACCAATAACTTTATGTAGAAAATTGAAAAAGAAAATATCAACGGGGGTACGCGGATAAAATTTTACACTCAACGAATAATTTGAGTTTTTTTCTTTACAAAATGCCTTAGTTATTATAATTATTTTTAAATAAACATTCGTCTATGATAAATATTTACTCAAGTTTAGAAATAAATAAATAATTATAATAAAAAACGTTCAATTTTATTTACCTTCAAATGAATATTCTTCTCGCCATTTCCGCCATTTTGCATTCCAAAAATTTTGAATTAGTAAAAAAACGGTTATTTTTAAAACGTGGAATTAACCGATGAAATCGTTTCTTCCCCGAAAATTCGAAAGGTAACATAAATCAAAGAGATAATTTTATCTTTTATTTTATTTTTTTTTTTGGTGAGTTAGCGGCGACCGATTTAAAAACAAAGTATTTAGTTTTTTGTTTTATTTGATTTTTTTTTGCTTACAGTGAAAATTTTTAATCTCATTGAATAAAAATTTTTGTTTGACGTTTTCGTTTGTGTTTGTTGGTTTGTATTTTTTTAAAAATAATATTTATTTATTTCGTCGTCAAAATTTTTTTTAAACTAAGCTTTACAAAAAAATTTTTTTTTTTTTACTCATTCAAATAATTAAATTTTCATCGACGTAAAAATCCGGTTTTTTAAGCTTCAAAAAAACGAAAAAAAACCCTCAAATTAATCTTCATCATCATCATCATCATCATCATCATTATTGCTGTTACTTTTTTTTTTTTTTTGTGTGACTTGATATCACATTACATTATGAATTGAGATATTTTTAATCTCAACTTTTTTTTTTTTTATCCAGTTTTTATTTTCATTGTGCTTAGTTGTACTTTTTAAATATAAAAATTTCATACAAATTACCTTTTTTAAAACAATTGTTGTTGATTGTTGTTTAATCTGTAAAACCTTTCAAATAATTTTTCTAATTGAAATCATTTAATAATTCAACTTGTAATTTTAAATTTTTACATTTTTTTTTTTTAATATTCTATTATTAATTGATATTATTTTTGTTAACCCAAGATAAATCAATACAATAACAACAACAACAACACAAAATGTTTTTTTTTCCCTCCCTATTTTTTTATTTTAAAAAAGATTTTGAAGAAAAACAAAAAATTTATTAAAAAAAAAAAAAAAAAAAGCACGAACAAATGTTTTATTCAATTTTTTTTTTTCTTCTTATTTTTATTCAACTCTTGCGTTTTTAAATAATAAAATGAAAAAATATCATAAGAAAAATATACAGCAAAAAACAAAAACATATTTTTTTTTTTTCAAAATCTGTTTCTTGTGATTTCCTCCCCCTCACCCTCACCCCCACCCCCACCCCCTAACTTTGTTAACATTAACATTAATTTAATGATGTTATTTTTTTTTTTTGTTTATTTATATTAATAAATATATAAATAATAAGTTGGGTGTTGTAATAAACAAAAAACAAGTTTAAAAAAATTTTTATGAATTTATTAATTCTTCATACTTGACCTTTTATCAATTCTTCTTTGGTTATTATTATTATTATTATTATTATTATTATTATTATTATTATTATTATTATTATTATTATTTTTCAATATGAAAAATAATTTTTCCATTTTATTCCTACATAATCTTTATTTATTTATTTTTTTTTTAAATTTATAAATTTAATACAACAAAAAAGTATAAATTCATTCAAATTGTTTATTTTATTATTATTATTATTATATCTACTCAATAAATACAATTTATAATAATTATGTATTGTTATCAAAACATAAAAAAATTTTTAAATATTATTATTATTATTTTTTCAGACTTTTATTTATTATTATAAAAAAAAAAAATAGTAATTAATTTGTTTTTATTTTTTTTCTCTCAAAATTTAATTGTGCTTTGCCTATAATTATTATTTTATGTGAAAACAATATATATCATTATCACAATCATAATAATAATAATAATAATAATAGTAATAATAATAATAACTCTTTCCTTGAAAAAATTACAATAAAAACAAAAAAATATGATTGTGAGAGAATGAAAAATAGAGATAAAGACAAAGAGAAAAAGAGTGGGAGAGAGAGGAGGAGGAGGAGGATGGGGAGGAGAAAAGAGGAGGGGATAATAATAAAATTAAAATTAATATCATATTTTATTTACTTTGATATTAATAATAATAAGAATAATAAAAATAATTAGGCATCTGATTAATTTTTTATAATTTATCACTGTAATAATAATTATTATTATTTTAATTTTTTTCGTTCAAGGTGACGTTTAAAAATATTATTTAAAAATAATAATAATAATAATAATAATAATAATAATAATAATAATAATAATAATAATAATAATAATAATAATAATAATAATAATAATAATAATAATAATTAATAATTAATAATAATAATAAAAACCACAGAGAATCAATAATAACAATAAAAAAGAATTTTTTTTTTTTTCATTTTCCTGTGTTATTTTCAATAAGTGGAATTTTTAGTAATTAAAAAAAAAAAAATTTATTTAAAAAAAAGGGGAAAATTATTATTATTATTATCATTATTATTATTATTATTATTATTATTATTATTATTATTATTATTATTACAATCAATCATTTTTATAAATGTGTGAGAATATGTTTAATGATATATAAAAGGTAATTTAAAATTTTTATAAATAAATTGTTAATGTAAAATTTGAGTTTTTTTAAAAAAGTTGAGAAACAAGGTTTTTGTCAAAGTTGTCGTAACATAAAAAGGAAAAAATTATTATTATTATTATTGTTTTTTTTTCCAGGACAATGAATCCAGAATATAAACTTATTTATTTCAATGCAAGAGGTAGAGCTGAACATATCAGATTTATATTTGCATATGCAGGAGTAGATTATGTGGATGAAAGAATATCACAAGGAGATTGGCCAGAATATAAAAAAAGTATGGTTTTTTATAATTTTCCTATTTCTTTTTAAATTTAAAATAATGAAAAAAAAATTGTTTTTTTAGAAATGCCATTTGGAACGGTTCCCGTCCTTGAAGTGAATGGAAAAACAATTGCTCAAAGCAATGCCATAGCAAGATATTTGGCTAAAAAATATAATTTAGCCGGTAAAAACGATTGGGAATCATTGGAATGTGATGTTTTGATAGATTCATTGTCCGATATAAAACAAGTTTTAATGCAATATAGAAACGAATGCGATCCGTTGAAAAAAGAAGAGAAAAAAATTATTTTGATGAAAGAAACAATACCATTTTACATGAATAAATTTGAAGATATTATAAGTAAAAATAATGGATTTTCCGTTGGTGAATCGGTAAGACTCTTTCCCCATCCCCATCTTCCTCATCTTCATCTACCACAAACCACTCTTCATCATTTTACATTTATTTATTTCAGGTGACTTGGGCCGATTTTGTATTTGCGTCTTCCCTTGAAAATTTCGAATGTATTTTTGGTAAAAATGCATTGGATCGTTATCCGGCACTTAAAGCATTAAAAGAAAAAATTTTTAATATACCTAAAATAAAAGAATGGGTACAAAAAAGACCGCAAACGGACTTTTAATTTTTCCATCACCATCACCACCACCGCCATCATCATCATCATCATCATTATTATTATTTACGTTTCAAAATCGAAAATACACACATATATATATTTTATAACGAAAAAATAATAATAAGCTTTCAAAAGATATCGAGTGGTGGAATTATTATTATTATTATTATCAATTATTTTTAAGTTATTAAATTATTTAGTGAAATAATAATAATAATAATACTTTTATTATTTGTAGTACTGCTACTACTACCACCACCACCACCACCACCGATTGCGTCGAGAGTATTTAATTATATGGAATCGATGTTAAAATTATATTAAAATAAATTAATGTATATGAGGATTAATTAAAGTTTATGTAAAAAAGAAGTTGTCGTGTGCGCGTTGCTTTGCAGTAGTTAAAAGCAGAAATTCCCCCCCCCGCCCCCCTCGCTGGATAAAAAAATATACAAAATAGTGTTATTATTATTGTTAGGCTTGTTAAAATCCAATTAAAATTATTATTATTATTTTTTTTGCTTTAAATAAATTATTATTAATTAATAACACATACACACATGTTAAATAATAATAAATAAATAATAAATTATTAATTATTATTATTATTATTATGGAAAAAAAATAAATGGTGAATTTGTTGAAGAAAATAAAAAAAAAAATTGTTGTTGTGGCTGTTGTAATACGAATATAAATAATTATTAATTAATTAATAAAAACGTTTTGAAATTAATAATAAATATCAATAAATATATGGAAATCACTTATTTTTATTTATTTTATCTATTATTATTATTATTATTAATAATTGTTATTAATTGTTGGCTATTCCAAAAAAATATATTTATTAAAAAAAAAAATAGATTAATGATAATACTTTTTTTTTCTTTATTATCATCATCATTATCATCACAATCATATTTCCCAAATAAAAAATTTTCCTTTTCCCCCCAATAATAATAATAATAATATTAATTTTAGAAATGAAAATTATTAAGAAAAAAAAATTTATACAAAATTATATATATATATTTTTTGTTTTTTCCAAAAGAGATTTTTATTATCAATATATTTATTTCATTAACAACCATCCATCCAAATAAATCACAACAAACGAACAAACAAACAAACAAACAAACACTTTCCCTCAAAAAAATGTCATTTTAATTAATAATAATAATTATTAAAAAAAAAAAAATATATATATATATATATATATTTATAATATAAATGCATTTCATTTATTTATTTAATTATTTATTTGGAAGATTTAATCCATTTAAATATTATTATTATTATCATTATATTATAAATAATAATAATAATTAATAAAATAAAAAAATTTACGTAAATGATTTTTTAACTGTAGAATGAATGAACGAATGACATTAATTCGTTCTCGCGATTTTCTTTTTTTTTTTTAAATAAAAAAAAAACGTTTCAAATTGATTCGTTATTATTATTATTATTATGATTATTTAAATAAAACTTTGATTTAAACATAAATGCACACACCCTAAAAAAAAAAA